AATGTGTATTGCCGCATTAAATGCGCACTTAATTCGCGTAATGCACATTAAAGCGTAAAAATGCGTCACATATTTTGCGTTTTTTAATGCGCATTGCCGCATTTCATGCGCATTTAAGTGCATTTGGCGCTACTAGGGAGCTGAAATTCTTATGCTCAGGAATTTACAATTACGTTGTCGCATCATACACATTGATCCATAGGATACACTTTTGCTGTATTTGTAATGCACTTACAAAAACCTTTTTGTGCAAACGTTCATGGTGGAGTTATACCTCATTTTCGTTCTGGGCAAATTTAGGCGAAAATTTCTTGAATTCGCAAATGCACAAAAATCTTCAAATCAACCCAGAAATTTGAGCAAAAAGAAAATGAAAAACTGATTCGCATCGATTGCCGTACAAATAAAACATGCAAATCCATTGATTGCGTCGCGGCGTCTAGGATCTACTACCTAGAGATAAGTATGAGTGACTGAACTCAAGACGTTAATGAAACGTCTCGCGGAAATTATTTGATAAGGGTTTGAGAGGACTCGCATAGCTGCCGCTGGAAGCAATCTAAAGCGCCAGTTCTCCTAAATAATAAACTGTTGCCATTTTTTTGTCTTCGCCTGTAAGATGGAGAGCCACGACTTAAACACTGTCACGGCCTGACAGGCGCCGCCTCAGCAGCCGCCCCGACTCTACTCAAGACTTGAGACTTACGCCTCGCCTCTGCCTCCTAGAGGCGACGTAGTGCGGCGGACCCCGACACTTGGTTGGGGGCCGCATGCACAACCCGTATTTAGCAGCCCCTCACCCCTTCCACACACGCCTCATATCAGTTTCTTCTGACACGATGCCTACTCAAATAATGTTAGCAGCTCCGAAACGCGTCCGTCCCCAATCACAACCCCTGCTCCCCTCCCCCTCCCCCTTTCTCTGGCACGGCGTATACGTATTAAGCCCCCCCCCCCTTCTACCCTCCCCTACCTGCCGAATGTACATCCTTTTCGCCGTCCTATTTGACCCCCATCGCATCGTCATTAAGCAGCCGTAGAACCCGCATGAACACAGACATCCCCGCCCCTCCTCCCACTCTTTTCCCTTTCCCACCCCTAACCCCACCCCGGCCAGAAGTCCTCAGCGAAACCGCAAATTGAATTGTTTCCGGTCTGGATAGTTACAGGGAGACAAAGACTTGACGCACGAGGTACGAGGTACAAGGTACGAGGTACGAGGTACAAGGTACGAGGTACGAGGTACGAGGTACGAGGTACGAGGTACGAGGT